TTTTTTTTTTTTGGCATGTCATCTGCCAAGGTGTAAACATGCTCATTAGATAAACCGAAGGAGGCGGTGGGGGGTCTTGGGGGAGAAGGAAATAAAATAAACCATACGAGAGGGTGACAAATTTTGGTGGCTTTGTCGTAAATGATAGTCTTTAATATCCTGGCTGATACACTCCCTGTGTGCCGGGAGGCCTTGTCTTAATAGCTGTATTCTGGAATAAGAAAAGAGGGAGGGTTACCAGAAGAGTTCCCAGAAGATTACAACACAAACCTAATGTTTTCCCAACACGCTCACTGAGGCTTGTCGCCTCATTTACTAGCCTGGTTTTGTGACTACTGAGATAATAACATGGTCACAGCTATGTGTGTGTGTGTGTGTGTGCGCTTGTTTTGTTCATGTTCAGTCTGAGACACTCTCCACACAAGGGCACTACAGAAACGAAGCGTACACTCTGGTGTTTACCTGACAGAAACCAGATCCCATGAATTCTCCTCCTAACCGCTCACTCCGCTACTGCTCTGGCTGTCTTTCTCGTTCCACCAGCCCTGGGGAACACAGCTGCCACTGGGTCTCCACAGGGTGGGGCGTTTGTGTGTGTGTGTGTGTGTGTGTAGCCGTGAGCAGCTCAAACCTAATATTGCAGAGCACTGGAAGAGCGTTTGTCACAGAGACCTTAGCTGTGAAAACAAGTCAGCAGTTGAGGCTGCTTAACTGCCTCACTAAAATACCCATAAACCCCTTCTACTTAAGCAAACTGGTGTGGTATTAATGCCATGCTTGTATTTGTAAGATTAATTTTAAGATGAGACCCAACTTAAATGGGTTAAAAAGCCTATTTTTTGGCAACATAAATTGATCAGCTGATAAAAGGAACTGCGTTGTGCTCAATATTGGTAAATCATGTCACAGTTTATTATTATATTATGAAATCATTGCAAATAGGTTATTCTTACAGCTTAAGAACGACCTAATATGTATCAATGTATTATATCCAGGCTATTGGGCTGAATTTATTTAGGTGGGTTTATAAATTTGGGGAGAAATGGCAAAGTGAGACATGAAGATTGGAATGGAAAATAAACTGTAATTTTTCTCCCGTTGCAAAAAATAAATGGTAACACTTTACAATAAGGTTTCATTTGTTAATGTTAGTTAATGAAAATACAGTTGTTCACTGTTAGTTCATGTTAATTCACAGTGCATTAACTAATGTTAACAAGCACAACTTTTGATTTTTATAGTGCATTAGTAAATGTTGAAATTAACATTAGCTAAGATTAGTAAATGCTGTAGAAGTATTGTTCATTCTTAGTTCATGTTAACTAAAGTAGTTAACTAATGAACCTTATTGTAAAGTGTTACCAAAAAATGAATATAAATAAGTCCATTTGCCCAGAACAAAACATGGCTTCTCATAAAAAGCTAACATATTTAAGAAACATAATGATTTTGACACAGAGTCACAAAGGATTACAGGGGTCATCTTTGTTTTATGGTAGATTTTCTCGACACATGACAACAATCCTGCATTTTGGTTACGCCACACTGTCTTTTGGCAGACATTAAGTTTTTCAAATATTAATAATATTTTAAAACAACATTGGTTTACTGCATATGCATAATTTAAAATAAATAAAAGATTATCCCAAACTTTGCACGTAACTTTTTTTTTTTTCAGTTTGATGGTAGTTTTTTTAACACATATAGCTACATTCAGCCCCAGAATTTTCTAATATTAGTTTAACTTAAAACACACACACACACACACATGAAATATATGAAAACGAATAGTATATATATATATATATATATGAAAC